CACACACACACACACACACACACACACACACACACACACACACACAGTCTGCTGATGCAGTGAAGTCAGATAACGAGAGGGTGAGAGGGAGATGGTGGACTGAGAAGAGGAAGAAGAAGAACTCTCTCTCTCTCGTATGCCAGGTACTAACCTGTGAAGGTGGCACTGTGCTGCAGGTACCTCGAAGACGAAGCTGGAGCGATGGCGCTGCAGGTAAGTCCGTCTGGCCTCCGCCCAATCTCTCTCTCTATGGTACTACTCTAGCTGCTATGGCGCCCAGTGCTGAAGACTACAGCGAATGCTACTAGCGCCCAGCGCTGAAGACTACTGCTAACGCTATTACTACTCCTGCAGCGCTCCTCCAGAGTGCTGCTGCCGAATCCTGAAGACTACCTCCTGCCTCCTAAACTGTACGTGAAGTGCCTGGGAAGTACCTAGGAACTACCTAGCAACTACCTGCAGCCTGCAGGGCGGGCCAGTCTTATATAGTGCTGGCCCGTCCAGGAGGCTGCTCTTGCCAATGCCAAAACGTACCAGACCCTGGGGGCGAAGCTCAAACAAAGGTTGTCTTGAAAATAGGTCAAAAATGGCCTGAGCTAAAACCCTGGTCTGGTGCCTACGTCTCAGGGCAGGTCGATCTTGTGAGGGCCTGAAAATGGCCCTCAGTTTCAGGCTGAAAATACTCAGGGCCGGAAAGGCCCTGATTTAGGCTGAAACGACACAGGGCCTGTAGGCCCTTGTTTTCAGGCTTTCAGGCTGAAAACAACACGGGGCCTGTAGGCCCTTGTTTTCAGGCTTTCAGGCTGAAAACAACACGGGCCTGAAAATGTCCCGTGCAGCCTGTTGTAGGCGCAGCATGTAACACCAGAGCTCGAATCAAGTGGTAGTCTGGCGCATGCAACCAACTTACTTTCAAGCGCAACCCCACTTCCCACCAAATGTGTAAAATGAAAGTGAATCTTCTGCTAGATCACAGAAATATACCTCCTCACCTCATGAATCGAGCTCAACAGGGGAATGAGCTTTGAAGCCCTCGCCCGCCTACGTATCAGGAGAGGGGTATTGATCGGGAGAAAGATGACAATATTCAGATTGCACAATCACATTGAAAGCCAAATCGTAACACAGTGTTCAGAAAGCAGCATTGCACCAATATAACACCAATGGAGAATCGTAGCACTGAAAGTCAATGTCAATGAGAGCTTGCTCTCGCCACCACCAACATATGTATCCAGTCTCTATCTCCCAACTTGGCGCTCGGCGCCCAGCCTACTCCCTACACAGCTACTACTAGCCTACTAATTGACAATGCAACTGTTGACGTCAGCAGCACCCGACGTACTTGAAGATGTCGCCCGTGCAGAACGATCGCCAATACCAGGTATGTGCCCTCACGTCATCATCATCGTCATCATCCTTGTCTCTCTCCCACGTCTTCCTTTGTTGTACACCCGAAGACCACCCCTGCGCCTCACTGTACATCCAAGCCCTGCCAGCTATGGAGGCTGGGCTATGGCGCTGCCCTCAGCAGTGCCCTGCTCCCTGCACGACCGCACGTGCCTGCACCTCGCCACTCAGCGCTAGCAGCAGCCCACGAGCTTCAGCTCCAGCAGCGCTGCCGCCAGCATGCGAGTGCCTGAATCCCTGGCCAGGCAGCGAGCTCTTTCCTATATGGAAAGAGCCTGCCTCGTTCGGTAGCCTGGCTGGACTGGCCTGGGCCCAGAAGCTTCCGGTAGGCCCCAGGATGCTGCGCCTCTGGTGCAGCTACTGGGCCTCGTTCGGTTGGGCCTCCCAACTGTCTGTGTATGACGCTGCGAATCTCGCCCAGGGCCAGTGCTTTCGGAAAGGCCTCGAAGGCCTGGGAATTTTCCACACTGCTCGGCCTGTGTTTTCCTTCAACCAACTGGCGCGACGAAACTGCCTGAACCCCAAATATGAATTTGACAGCTTATGGCCTCTGGCAATTTGTTAGGCCCGCCTTCACTTAGGGCGGGCACATTTGCTGCAGGGGACCCCTTAGGCCTGCCAAGGACCCATATGTGAGGATTGAGCCCTCAAGAAGGGCCTTCTAGGCTAAGGCCCCAGCAAGCCTCGTGCCCGCCCTAAGTGCAGGCCGGCCAGCAAATCAACAAGAGCCCTCTGTGCAAACATTTCACGAAGTGGGGTCCATACAGTTGCAGCACGCCAGTTGGTTGGAGTGCACCGAGTCTCGAATCTCTGCAAATGTGGAGATCCCAGGGCCTCTGAGTTAGTTAGGCCCTGGGCACTTGAACGTGAGGCTGACAATGCATGCTGGGTATAGAGGTCGAAAATGCCAAAGGGAAATCGGCCCACTATCTGAATCTGGCCGCAGGCCTTGACAAAAGAGGCGCAACTGCATCACCCGGGCCCCAACTGCATTGTGCCTGGGTTCAGGCACTGGGGCCCAGTCGCAGGCTGAAGGGAGGCCGCCCACACGCAACACTGGCATATAGGCAAACAGGGCGAGTGGGCAGGGATCCTTGGCCAATGCAGGCATTGCCGGCACGCTGCGCGAACGCGAGGTGCTGTGCAGTGTAAAGCTGCGTTGGGCATGAGGGAGACGGGCAGCGCTAATACGGTGGTGCACTGCCTGGGCGCAGGGCGCTGGCGGCCATAGCCGGGCTGCTGGCGGGCGCAGGGGAGGTGAGAGCGAAGGTGGTTCTTCGGAGGTGAAGGGCGCTGTGTGGGTAACGAGGGAGAGTGTGGGTGAAGAGGACACGTACCTGGTGGAGGTGGAGGTCGGCATTGGTGTTGACATCATCACTCGCTGGTAGTCAAGTTGTCTGGTTGCTTCATTGCTGTAGTTGTAGGCTTTAGGCTGTAGAGTAGATAGGGCGCGTGGCGCCATTCACAAGAGAGAGCTACATTGGGTTATGTTGTTGGTGTTGCCCTGTTGGGCTTGGACATTGACTCACGATTCTTCTGTACCATTCTCAAATGGATGGTTACTCGGTTCCATTGTGCTATCTGCTCTGGCTTTGACTACATGGACTTCAGTGTGATTTTGCAATCTGGATTTTTGTGCTTCGTCCATATTCATGTTCCTTGCAATTTGGTATCAGAGCCGGTATGATTCGCCACTTACCTTTGGCACGCTGCCGTTATACAGACTTGGTGCTTCTTCGCAGTTGGCACGTGTGACGTCAGGCCACCTAGGCGCACACCCTGGGTAGAGAGAGGTGCGTCGGAAGGCTGAGACGGCAGTGTAAGCCGTGGTGACAGGCGGAATGTATGGTTGGTGATGAGAGCATGCTGATGCGGCATTCGGCTGAGGTGGCACTGCATTGCATTGTGGGTGGTACCGAGGCCAAGGACCGGTCATCAAATGCACACTCGGCTCAATTGGTGAGAAATCTGTGGTTGGGGGCAGCTATCTCCAGGTATGTTGTTCCCTTACCTTATCTACTCTCTCAATCTCTTCTTACCGTGAG